GACTATGCAAAGGCATTTGTGTGAATCATAACAAATTATGGATAACATTGTGAAGAACGGGAATTCCAGAACACTTAATTGTGCTCATGAAGAACCTGTACTTAGGCTAAGAAGCAGTCATTCAAACAGAACAAGGGGATATTGTGTGGTTTAAAGTCAGGAAAGATGTGTGTCAGGGTTGTATCCTTTCACCGTACTTATTCAATCCCCTTATTCAAATAATCCGAGAAGCTGGACTATATGAAGAAGAATGCAGCATCAGGATGGGAGAAAGACTCATTAACAACCTGCGATATACAGATGACACAACCTTGCTTGCTGAAAGTGAAGAGGACTTGAAGCACTTACTGATGAAGATCAAAGATCCTTCACTATGAATTACACTTCAACATAAAGAAAACAAAAATCCTCACAACTGGGTCAATAAGCAACAGTATGATAAACGGAGAAAAGATTAAAGTTGTAAAGGATTTCATTTTACTTGGATCCACAATCAACACCCATGGAAGCAGCAGTCAAGAAATCAAACAACGCAGTGCATTGGGCAAATCTGCTGTAAAAGACCTCTTTAAAGTGTTAAAAAGCAAAGATGTCACTTTAAGGACTAAGGTGCGCCTGACCCAAGCCATGGTGTTATCAATTGGATCATATGAATGTGAAAGCTGGACAATGAATAAGGAAGACCAAAGAAGAATTGATGCCTTTGAATTATAGTGTTGGTGAAGAATATTAATATACCCTGGACTGCCAGTAGAACAAATAAATCTGTCTTGGAAGAAGTACAGCCAGAATGCTCATTAGAAGCAAAGATGGTGAGACTTCATCTTACATACTATGGACGTATTATCAGGAGGGATAGTCCCTGGAGAAGGACATTATGCTTGATAAAGTGGAGGGTCAGCAAAAAAAGAGGAACATCCTCAGTGAGATGAACTGACACAGTGGCTGCAGCAGTGGGCTCAAACATAACAACGATTGTGAGGATGGTACAGGACGAGGCAGTGTTTTATTCTGTTGTACATAGGGTCGCTATGAGTCGGAACCGACTCAACAGCACCTAACAACAACAGCTGATCCTACTCTCTCTCTTTCCTGCCTTCTTCTCACTACATTCTAATAATAATTGCAAGTGTTTTCTGAGTACTTCTTACCCAGCAAACACTTTGCCTAGGGGCTTCTGTAAACGTTATCCCACTTAATCATCACAAAATCATGATGACGTAAATATTGTTAGAGAAAACTGAGGCTAAAATTAAGTGACAGCCAAGGACTGCATAGCTAAGGCTGGCAAAGCCAGTATTCCAGTCTGGACTGATCTTCCTCTGAAGCCCACACCCTTTTTACCATGCTACATTACCTATGTAAACCCTGATGGTGTAGCAATTAAGAGCTACGGCTGCTAACCAAAAGATCGACAGTTCAAATCCACCAGGTGCTCCTTGGAAACTCTATGGGGTAGTTCTACTCTGTCCTACAGGGTTGCTATGAGTCAGAATCGACTTGACAGCAACGGGGTTTTACATTACCTATAGTGTAGATGTAGAGATAATTTTTCTTAAGAAATTAAGAAAAAAGACGCATATTATTGAATGAATTAATACTTTTATGACAGTATCTTCTGTGGTAGTTTGCTTAAAGTTAAGTGTTCGAAAGACTGTGTTTAAATGTCAAATGACAGGGTTCGTGGGAAATTTTATTGTTGTTTTTTCAAAACTAACAGTTGGGACATAGGTGTGTGAAATGGTAGGGTGGCCCACCATAGGTATGTCTCTTTTTCTTTCTAATGGTTTCTTTATCCTGGGACAGATAGGTAAATTTTGCTTAAGGGCTAGGGCCTCATGTTTGTGTGATTCTCACATTCCTTAGTCCTAGGATTCAAAACCTGAGGTAGCACCTGAGAGTGGCTGTTTTAGAGGATCACCTAAAAGCCAAGAACTCCTTTCTAGTGATTGCAAATACAGGCACAGAACAAAAGTGTGGAATATGTTGAAGGGGCTTCCCTGAGGCTGTGACCATTCTTAACCTGCCCAGAGCTCCCTCCAATGTGGAGTCCTAAGGAAATTGCTTCTCACATACACACCTGTTCCCTGTGGCCTTCTTGCTCCCTTCTCCCCCAGTCATTCCTTCCTTTGACAAAAGTTTCAAGCAAATGTGATCCTCTTGATGCCTAGGTCCCTAGAGATTAGCCCAATTGAATGGGAAAGGAGCAATGACTAGGAGAAAGTCCCTTTCCCTTGGCTATGGGCCATAAATGTGCTAATGGGCAGGCTGGTGGCAGGTCAACCCCTCTACCCTAGAAAAGTTTATGGCACTATCCTACTGTAAAATATGTTTCCTAAGAAACACAGAAAGAAAATAGTAATAAAATATTTTCAAAAAGGAAACACAAACAAGTTTCTTGTTAGTCAACATACAGGTATTGGAGAGAAAATAGGTATTATCGCCACTGATACCTTCAGTGCAATACATATGGTGTTGTGAAAGAAGGAAACCAGCTGAGATAAAGGTGGGATGTTAATATAAATTATGAATATTTGACATGGTTACCCTCATAAACATTTACTGACTTGAAACAGCAGTACTTGCTAACTCAGATGTCACACTCTCTCTCAGGTGTTGCTGCTCATACTCAGGTATCACCCATGTGTTTGCTCAAGTGTCACCTTCAGGTGTCATCTTCAAGTGTCACCCACATAATCATCCTCAGGCACACTCAGGCATGGCCACTTGTTGCCTGCCTCCAGGACTGGCAGCTTAATTTTTCACACAGGTTCATCCTTCCTCCAGGAGATTTCTCCTTTCAGGCATATTCTATTACCTGGTTTTACCAGTGCAGGCTCCGGGACTTCCCTGCCTTCATAGAGGACTGATTAACTCATCAGAAATCCCAGATTTGGAATCAAGACTTTGTCTGTCAGGCAAATGGACATTTTTTTTTTCAGTGTAGATTCTCAGTATTCAACATTCCTTTCTGTTCAAAATCAGGGCAACATGTTTATGCATGGCTGTTTTCAGGGGCTGGACGCCAATCCTGAGGCCTCAATCCCCTCCATTCCTTAGTGGCCAGAGGGATCCCAGTTAGTCTTTATTCCCATTTGTGGGGATTAGTCTCAAGGGAAATCATGGGCTCATACCATTCCCAATAACTCGTCACTTCATGTCTCAACACATCAGGCCTGGAGTCCTTTATGACTGCAGCCTGCTACAACAGGTGGATGTGATCAGTCATTTTGTGATGCACGTTTCTATCCTTTGCTTCAGTTGATAAGATAGATGAGTATTATGGGACCTTGCTTTGGAGCTGAGTTATGCTCTGGGGATTTTAGTCAGGCTAAATCCATCAAAGATATTAAAAAGAGAACATGAGATCAAGAAGTAAATTAGTTCCTGAGCTATTGAATGTTCTCCCCCAAGATTAGTATTCCACATTGTTTTCATTGCCACTGGGTACTTATTCTGTATGATTTAGTATTTGGGCAACTTTCCACGTGGTGGGAAAAAACTGCAGTGCATTGACAAAGTTAGTATATGACTGGGCTCTACTGTTTTCAGCCAACTCTTAGGAACCAGAGGGCTTTGTTTACTACTTTGTTTACTTGGAGAAGTCACCCTGTGGATTTTATTTTCAGGTGATCTTAAAGGGCAGCAAGGAGCGCAGCACCAGGGCCACTGGAGTTAATGCAGATTCTTCCCGCTCCCATGCTATCATCCAAATTCAGATCAAAGATTCAGCCAAGAGGACGTTTGGCAGGTAAGCTGAAAATATTCAGGGAATCGTATTGTCTTCCTTTCCCTAATGTGACTTTGAAATATATGTTATCGACAACCAGACACCCTGCCATAGAGTTCATTTCAGGGATACAGAGTAGAGTTGTTAGCCCTGAAATAAATCATTGTACTAAAGTGCCATCAGTTGATTAACCATGAAGTAATGACCTATTGTTAGTCAACCCTAACTTATTAAAAGGGACATTGATTGCTTCTAACTTGAAACACAGTATCAGCAGAGGAACAGCCTGGAATACATCTCAGGAGAGCTTATAGACCAAAAAAAAAAAAAAGGAGGGAAAATTAATCCATCCTTCTTGAAAGAAGCCATAAGACAATTGGGTATATTCATTGCTTCTCTGGTGCTATCTTAGCAAACTCTCTGCCACACTGATGGATGAGCCTATTTCACCTTTGAGTAATGAGTCTTTTTTTTTTTTTTTTTTTTTTTCTGGAAAGCAGCCCACAGAAGTGTTTCTGTTTAATTATCTAAGTAGTCACCTAAGTGATTTGCATTGGGGTCATTTAGCCTCACGGAAAGAGTGTTTTATTAATTTTGGCATACTTTCTTACAAATGATTAAAATTAACAGACGTGTGAGTGAACAGTGCCAGCAGCAGCTGACAGAACACAATTTTGCAGTACTTTTGGAAAGCTGACAGTAATGTCTTTCCTTTCCTGAGGGTGGGCCAGTCACAAAATGCTGACTGAAGTAAAAATAAACCAGGGACCCAAAGAAGTCATCCCTGCTGTGTCTTTTTTTCTAGGATCTCTTTTATTGACTTGGCTGGCAGTGAAAGAGCAGCAGATGCCAGAGACTCAGATAGACAGACAAAGATGGAAGGCGCAGAAATAAACCAGAGTCTTCTGGCTGTAAGTTGTTCAAAAGCTTTAATCTAGAAATCTTTCGTGAGGGATTTTGCTCTTCTTTACATGAGCCAGAGGGGGCGAGAGTGGAGTGGAATCAGCAGAGCAGCAGGCATGCTCTTATCTGGCAGTGGAATTCCAGGCTTGGGGAGAGAGGCTGCCCAGACTCTCAGCAACTCTTCTCTCCCTGCCTTCTCTTCCTCTGGTCGGTCCCTGCCAGTTAGGAACAGAAGTATTTCTGCAGTTGCTGAATGGTTAGCTTAGGTGAACTTTCCTCTTCTCTCCAAGTTTTAAAACTTTAATAAATTTTCAGACATATAAAGGTAGAACAAGTAGTATAATGATCCGCCATACACCTGTCACCCTGCTTTAGCAATTAAGTTTATGATTTCTTTGCAGTTTTCTTTTTACCTTTAGGATGTATCCCACTAGGAATGTAGTCATAATACTTTCTTGCAAAGTCACTTGAAATAATTCTTCTCTGTATATTTAAAGCCTACCAATTCCATATTCAGTTAGGTTCATTTTTAAATTTTGATTTTGTTTTTAAGAATTGCTTTCTTTATTTGATTTAATTTTATAATTATTTAAAACATTTACATGATTCCAAAGTAAAAATTGTGAAAAAGAACACATTCAGGGAAGTCTAGTTTCCATCCCTGTCCCCTCAACCGTGTTACCTCCCTCCCTTTGTTGTTGTTAGTTGCTGTCAAGTTGATTCTGACTCACAGTGACCCATGTATGCAGAGTAGAACTGCTCCATAGGGTTTTCAAGACTGTGACCTCTTGGAAGCAGATCTCCAGGCCAGTCTTCCAAGGTGCCTCTGGGTGGTTCCAACCTTCAGCTCATAGTCGAGCGCCTTACCGTTTGTGCCACCCAGGGAACTATTCCTCCCCTTAGGTAACCATTTTTCTAAATTTTCTGAATTCATTTATTTATTTACTTATATTCACCCCTTTTCTCAGAAAAAAAGGTAGCATGCTGTAAACACTGCACCTTGCTTAACAATATACTGGAGATCACTCCATCGTCATATGTAGAGATCTTCCTCGTTCATTTTTACAGATGTTTGGTGCTGCCTTGTGGTCCTCCACTTCATTTATGTCCTGTTGATCAGAACTGAAGTCCCCAGCTATGCACATTCTTTCCAGGCCTCCTGGGGATGAATTAGGAGGTTGAGAGAGGTGGGAGAGGGAACCAGCATCTTTTTTTTTTATTATTATTATTGTTTTTAATTTTGAATAATTTTAGAATTATAAAAGATTTTCAAAAATAGTATGTAGCATTCCCTGTATTGCCTTCACCTAGCTTCCCCTGATATTAACATTTAACATAACATTGTACAATGATATAAATTAGGAAATCAACATGGTATAATACTGTTACCTAGTCTACAGGCCTTATTTGAATTTCACAAGGAGTTCCACTAATGTCCTCTTTTGGGTCCAGATCCCATATTACATTTAGTTGTTATGTCTCTGTAGTCTCCTCAGTTTTTGTCATTTATGACCTTGATACCTTTGAAGAATACTGGCCAGTTATTTTTCAAATTGTCCCTGAATTTGTGCTTGTCTGATGTTTTCTCATGATTAGACTGAGGTTATGCATCTTTAGCAAGAATAGCACAGAAGTGATATTCCCTTCTCAGTGTATCATATTAGGTGGTACATGATGTCTGTCTGTCTTATTACTAGTGAAGTTAACCTTGATCACTTTGTTAAGGTGTGTCTGCTAGGCTTCTCCATTGTGAAAGTTATTGTTTTCCCCTTTGTAATTTATAAGTATCTTGTGGGAAGATATTTTGAGATATACAAATACCTTATTTTACATAACACTTTTGCTCACTAATTTTAGCATCCATTGATGATTCTTGCTTGCAACAATTATTACTGTAGTGTTTGCCTATTGGGATTTTCTATTACCATCATTCCTTCTACATTTATTAATTAGAATTCTGTTGCAAGGAAAAGCTGTCCTCCCCATTTTATTTATTTATTACATTATTTATTTATATAAGTAAATGGATATTTATTTTATTTGCTGGATTATATATAATCCATTACTATCATTATTTTGTTGCTCAAATTATCCCAGATTTGGCCACTGGAAGTTCCTTCAAGTTGGCTCCTGTATTCTTTTGGCATGCTCTCATTTTTTGAGCAACTTCTTACTTTTTGGCACTATGAAATATTCCAGGCTAATCTTGTACTTTCCCTGCCACAGCCCTGGAATCAGCCATTTCTCCAAGGAGCCCCAGAAACAACATTTTGAGCATTTACTATATTTGAGTCAGTTTCATCTTCACAACAAGCCTGTTAGGTAAGTTAGGCAAATTCCCTTATCCCCACTTTACAGATTAGGATTCTGAGGTTCAGAAAGATTAAGTGAATTGGCCAAAGGTCCACAGCCTTTAACCAGAAATCTGTGATTCTGGTATTTTAAACTATGGCCCAGGAATCAACTATGAAACCTGGGAAGAAGTACCTATGAGGCTGTACCAACCCTTTGGGACTTGACTATGTCTTTCTCAGATGGACTGTGGCATGCAAAGGGGCCTAGAAACAAGCTTTCTGGAGTAGAGTAAAAAACTTGTGCATTGTGAGGTGTAAAAGGTGCCCCTTGTTTCTTTGGTACTTTCCTTGGTTCTCTCTTAGTGTTAAGTAAAGTCTCTTGACCATTCCATTCTGATTCAGCAGGGCTAAAGGAACGGAAGGGCTCATAGGGGTTGATGGCCACACTTGGACTTGAGTATATAAGGAACAACATCGGGAGGCCCCAAGGGCAGGTGTAACTCAGGAGCAAGAGTCTGGTTACCTGTTACCCTTGTAGATGACCTTCCCAGTGCAAAAGTTTGGAGATTTTAGATTAATTTGTAATAAAGGAGGAAATTCCTTTATACCTTCTTATGCCCTGCAGCTTCTTAGAGCTTTGTACCTAATATATACCTTTAATTTACTTAAAATATAATATACCTTTATATTCTAAGGGATGGAGTGGGGGCAGGTACCTTGAATCCAGCTTCAGGCCTCTATGGCTGCCACTAAGAACAGCCACATCAAACTCTCAAAGCTAATTACCTATTCTTGATGAACTCCCAGCTCTGGCACTTCCAAGGGCTTCCTTCCATCCTCCTCCATCTCTTCCTTTCGTTTACTGCCTTTTAGCCAAGATGCATGATTCACCCTGAGGAGAAATAGGGGAAGGCCTCCCCTCCCTCACCTTGCCTCCCCGACCTCACTCTTTCTGCTGTTTCTGAAGGGCATGTTGCCCCTGCAGGTCTACATAGCCAGGGCTCTACTGGCTCTACTGATGTCCAGTGAGAACTTTGCATTGAGGGGCTATGCCCAGGAGCAAGTGACATCCTTTTTCCTTTGCGCCACAGTCCCTGCTTTTCTAAAATGAGGGGGTAGTCCTACGTGATTTCTCAAGTCCCTCTCAGCTCCAACTTTCTAGAATTACTCCTGCTCCATTCAGTCAGTTTATATCTGAATCCACATTTGAATCTGGATATATGGAGGGGGGCGGGGGTGGGGCAGGGAGAGAAGAGAGTGAGTATAGATATTTTCTACACTTAAGTATCTATGTAGTAGGGAAAAGGAGAGAAAGGGAGTCAGCAAGCCAGAACAACCTCCTATCTTCCCACCACAGAAGCTTGGACTCTGGCACCTAAAGGTAGGTCCCTTGGTTCATCTCTCCCTCGCCATTAACTCATAGCTAATGCTAGGATTACAGCCTCTAAGTTGGGAGGCGCTAAGCTAGGCAGCACATGGTAGTGTTTCCCATACTAGCTTGATTTTTCTTGGTGAACAGGAAACTACCAGGACATTTGGACTTCCTTTTGGACAATTGCCTGAGTGTGGTTTATTTAAGAAAAATAATCTTCCTATGTACATAGCATCTGATCTTTCTCTCTTTGCATTGCAATATCTGATGTGCTTGTTGCTATTCTTCCACTTTGCAGTTGAAGGAATGTATTCGAGCACTGGATCAGGAACACACCCATACTCCCTTCAGGCAAAGCAAGTTAACTCAGGTAAAGTTAAATGTGAGCTTTGAGTATGTTGCGGTTCATTCATTTGTTCCTTATTCCATTTATTTGTTTGTTCAGCAGAACATCCACTGTGAGCGAGGCATGATGCTAGGCATAGTGGGGAATAAAGGAAGGAAGGTGTCCATTATCTAGTAGGACAGAGGGACATACTCTGGCAGAGATACCCGCAATATGAAGAGTCTTGTGCGGGCAGCAGCCTCCCTGGCAAAAGGACATGCAGCAGCCCTCTTCTGGTCACCACCCAACAGCTTCCTGTTTATTTCCAACATATATAAACCTTGTTGCTTTAGTGGAATCTCTGAGCTTTTGAAGGAGGGTTATAGCTGCACTTGGTACTTTCTTGCCTATAAGACTTAGATGAGTGTTTCAGGACAAAAAATAATGGCTGCAGTTAAAAAGAACAAGATATATTTATCTACATCTGCTGATAGGAAAGATGGCCAAAATCTATTGTTATGTGAAAAGTAAGCTGTAGAACAGTGTAATAATATGATTGCATATGTGATTTTAAAACATTCTTTCTATTATATATGTAGCCACACAGGAAAAAAAGTCCAGAAAGATACAGAAGAAACAGTTAACATTGGATACATCTGGAGATTAGTAATGGGGATAAAGGTGGAACTTAAACTTCGCACTTCACACCTTTATGTATGGTGTAGCCACCTATTGTTTTTATAATTTAAAAAAACATGCGATGAGGGAAAAAATTATTTACATGTGAACTGTGATTATTCTGGGTGTAGAACTATACATCATAACTTTTTTCTTGTGTTTTTCTATCATGAAAATGTGCCTTAGTAATGGAAAACACAAGTAGACATTAAGTGTGCATCAGTAGTGGCTGCAGAGGAGTGGCATGTGGAGGGGCCTCCCTGGGTATGAACAGCTACAAAGACAGTTTACAGATGTCCCAGACTGGGTTCTGCACCATGTCTTTGCACAGTGGAGGACAGACTAGCTGGGGAGATGTCTAGAAAAGGATCTTTGTAGTCTGCAGAATGAAGCCAGCCCAGCATCTCGGAGTAGTTTCCACTTTGTGCAGCTAAACTAGTGACTCCACAGGAGCTGGGGCAGAACCTATAAAAACACAGCTCCTTACTAATTAGAACTGACAATTCTGTGGGTTAGATTGTATCTTCTCAAACATGATTTCAGCCAGGAACCTCTTGTAGTAGTTGGTCCTGATTCTGACACTTGCTCTATTATTTTTTTTAAGTTTCTCATTTCCAGAAAATATGTTTCAATTTAATTAAAAAAAAATTGAAACAGTATATAGAAGTTCAAAGATGAAGGTAAAAGATACCTTAAAATCTCACCTCCCAGTCATAAGCACTGCTCCATTTTGGTGAACATCCTTCTAGGCATCTCTCTGCCCATATATCCACACAGAGAGCCACATATAGTTTTACAGAATTATACACATTTTTTTTTCACTCAAAGGTAAGTTAGTTATCTTTCCATGTACCTAAATGCAAGATATACATAATCATTTTAATGGTTGTATTTATAATTAGTTAGTTGTTCCCTATTTATAGACTCTGAGATTATTTCCAATTTTATTATTATAAACAATATTGTAATGAATATCTTTGTGTACCCTTTTTTTTTTTTTCTTTTCCTGTCAGTTGAGTGATTATTTCCTTACAGTCAAGACCTGGAAGTGTGATTGCCAAACCGATAGTATGCATGTTTTTACATTTTGGTACATATTGCCAAATGCCTCAGAACACTTGTACCAGTTCGTGGCACATGGTATATGGATAGTGTAGGAGAATGCCCATTTCCATGTACTTTCACCAGGGCAGGGTATCATCAGTCTTTTTTAATTTTATAGTTGAAATATATTCATTTTTTAATGGTTTGTTTGCATTTCTTTGATTAGTGGCAAAGTGAGTACTTTTTTGGTGTTTTTTGGTCATTTGTATTTCTTCTTTTCTGAATTGCCTTTTGTGGACAGAAAGGGGACTATGGCCCAGTGTCCTGCATACAATAAGTAGTCAGTAAGCCCTCTGTAAGTTGACTCTTCATTCACTGACCTGCCTTCTGTTTCGGACAGGTCCTGAAGGACTCTTTCATTGGTAATGCCAAAACCTGCATGATTGCCAACATCTCACCAAGCCACGTGGCCACAGAGCACACTCTGAATACCTTGCGCTACGCTGACCGGTGAGTTGCCTTCCTGATGGCAGGTCATGTGTATGTGCGTGCACATCTCGCACACACCTAGAGCGCTGACCCTGAACTCCACAAGCTTGTTCGTAGACCTTAATATGCAATTGGTCATTTGAAGAATGTGACCAGGTAGGCCCTGCCATTTGTGAATGTGACAAGTGGAAAACAACACATTCACTTATTTAGGAGTCAGCTCTACCATATCAGTGACTTTTAAATGGCTAGAGAGAGATGAAATATTTCTCTAGGGTAGAAGGCTTGGTGAGTTTTTCTTCCCGCTGGGTTCAGCCCTAATTGTAGAGAATAGAATATATATATTATTGGCATGTATTCAGAATCACTTTGAGCCATGTAGGTCCAGAAGCAACCAACCCAGACATGTTAAAGAAGGACAAACTGAGGCCCAGAGAAAGACAGGGACTTTCCAAGGGTTTACTGAGAGTTGGTAACAGAGCTGGCACTTCTGACTGCCTAGTCAGAGCTCTTTCTGGGGTGACTTTGGTATCTGCCAGGGTCCTATTCATCTCTTACCCTGTGGTCACATGTGTTTCTTATGGTGGGTGAAGATGCTCTCATTACCATCCTTTCCTTTGGCTGCTTTGCTTCCTGGTCCTGTCTTGAATCTTCCTCTTCAGTTTCCCAAAAGCCGTCTGTAAGATTAACAGACTATTTGAGGGAAACCTGTTTTTTATTACTGTTGAGGCATCTTTATTATCCATGGCATTTTACAAGACTTATTGGGAGGGAGAGATGATCTATTATTTAAGTTCCATGAGAACTGAAACCTTATTTTTCTTTTTCGCCATTGTATCCCTGGTGCCCAGACAGTACTTTGTAGATGCTAGTACTAGTAAATGCTCAATAGATATATATGAATGAAAGAAGGAATGCCTTCTGGGTGCCAGGCCTTGAGTGAGGCACTCTGTGTACCTTATCTCATTTAATATGAGAGGTAGTTGACAAGATGGTTCCAAGAGTAGGTTTTAGAGTCAATAGCCTGACTCTGCCATTAGATAGCTAGGTTTTCAACTTCTCTTGGCCTCAGTTTCCTCATCTGTAAAACAAAACAAAAAAACCAAACCCACTGTGGTCGAGTCAATTCCGACTCATGATAACCCTATGGGATGGAGTAGAACTGCCCCATAGAGTTTCCAAGGCTATAATCTTTATGGAAGCAGACCGCCACATTGGCTGGTGGGTTCAAAACTTGAAGTTTAAAAACTTAAAGTTCTTTGCCCCCATGTATCCATCACCTACTTTTAACAATTATCAACTCTATGCCAATCTTGTTTCATACCCACCACCCACTCCTCAAATCCCAGACATCATATCAATCTCTTGAAGTTCTTCACCTTTCATGATTAGGACCAGAGAATAAGACATTGCCTCTCAGTGCTTCAGTAAAAGAAGATGAAATGACCCTTTCTCATGAGGGATATATTGAGTATCACTGAGAAATTAATTTGAAATAAAAAATAAAAGAATAGAAAAAGTACAATAGAATTAATCTCTCCCATTCAAAGTTGTCTGATAAATTATTAAAAATAAATGTGAAAGCCATTTGTTTTATGTGGTTAAATTAGGCTTATTGAAATTAATTTTAGGTACTTTTAAGTAAAAATCTATATACACACAAATTTCCCCCACTTCTGATTTAAAATTCTTATCTCTCTGTGTACTAGAAGAATATTTCTAAATAGTCCAAAAATAAAGTCTCCAGTATAGAAGAGAACTCCATGTGGTTTATTGGCAGGATTGATTTTGGTAAACAGGCAGAGTGCCCTGAAGCCTTTAGCATCAATGACCAAATTGCCTGTAAGATTGCTTCTGGCAGTCAGGTTTCTAGAGTTATTAGTATGACTTCTAGGAGGAAAATTTAGTGTTTCACTCTTAATGAAACTAAAAAAGCTGAGTTTTTGTAAGGGGAAGCAATTTGGAACTATCTAGATTTGCTGTGGCACCTCTCAGCCCATTCCTTCTATGTATGCCCTATTGCAACATCTAAGAAAAGGCCCACAGACACATTTCGTGTGTATTTATTCACACCCCACATCTCTTTGCTCAACTACGTTACTTGCCTTTTGGGCCTAAAGGGAAGACTTAAATCAAGTCTCAGTGTAGCCCTACTACCTTGGTTTTCAGAAATGGCCAAGGAGTCATTTGGCTCTCACTGTCTGTAGGAAAAAAACCAAAAATATGGAAAAGCCATTTTCTAGGAGCTCACTAAGCAGTAGCACTGCTCCCTCCTAGGGGATTTTAATGGAGAAACTACAAACCATTGGAGAGTCACATTTTTGCTTGATACTGTCTTGTAATTCTAAATCCTTACAGTGTTTTTATTTTGTTTTAAGTATGACAAAGCAATAGACTCTGATCTTGGCAACTGACTCCTAGCAAAGATCTAATTCTGGATTTTTCCATGCTGTCTAAAATTCCCTTGTGGAATAGAGCAGTGGTTCTCAACCAGGGACGATATTGCCCCCCCAGGGAACATTCGACAATGTCTGGAGACAGTTTGTTATCATCATGACTGGCGAGAAGTACTACTGGAATCTAGTGGGTAGAGGCCTGAGGTGCTGCTATACATCCTACAATGCACAGGATAGCTCCTGCAACAAACAATTATCTGGCCTAAAGTGTCAGTAGGGCTAAGGTTAAGAAACCCTGGAATAGACAAATAGTTTTGCCCTTAATGGAATTAGCACCAGCCTGCTTATTTCTGGAGTGTTTTTGTTTCCTTAAATGCCTAGCAGGTTCAGGGAAACCTATTTTCCCAGAAAAGCCTGAAGGGGGTGGTTTGTAGGAGAAGGCTTTGATTGTGGACTAGTGGGTGAGTGGTAGACATGGAGCTCTTGAGTTGACCCATCTTCAGGAAGCATGGCATGGGCCCTGTGTGCAGTTCTGGGACTGGCTTCCCCTGGCCTGTCCCTCATGTGGGGCTGTGGTGATTTCCAAAACGCTTCTAATTCTGGAATGTTGGTTGCATACTTATATCCTCAGACAAGACACTGGTCTTTCTTGTTCAGGTAAAGATATCTCATCCTGAAATAGAATCTCCATTCCCTCTTATTCTCTCTCAGGTAAAATAACTTCCGATCCTTAGAATACTTTTCTTTGGTTTTTGTTTTCCCTGAAAGCTGTAGAACATAATGTGAGAGAAAACACATTTAACATAAAATGGTCATTTACAGGGTGAAAGAACTAAAGAAAGGCATCAAATGTTGTGCTTTAGCTACCAGTCAAAATCGGACGTCTGGAAACTCCTCTCCAAAACGAATTCAAAACTCCCCTGTGGCCCTGCCAGGGGACAAGTGTTCTCCCAAAAAAGTCAAGCTAGGACTTCAGCAGTCACTCACAGCAGCCTCTGGCTCCATGAGAGGGAAGGCCCAGCCTCTGGCTGCCCACCCACCCAACATCCCATTTGCTTCTGTACCTAAGGCCCCTGGTAAAAGGGGTGGCTTCAGAGGGAGTCCTCCCCAAGAGTGGGTCATTCAGACTAGCCCTGTCAAAGGAACCATGGGGTCTGGACATTTGGCCAAAAAAAAGGCAGAAGAATCAGTACCATCGTGCTCTGAGAAAAATCAAATCAGCAACAAAACTGCCCTTGGGTGGGGAAGCAGGGCCCCTGGCCCAGGAGAAAGCCTGGTGAATGGTAAGCTGCCTGCCAAGTGCAAGAAAGTGCAGACTGTGCAGCCAGTGCGGAAGCAGCTTGTGTCCCGAGTTGAGCTCTCCTTTGGTGACCTCCACCACTTAGCAGAGTACAGTCAGGACAGCAAGGGGGGCGCCCTTGCCAGGCCTGCCTCTGAAGCTTGGACAAACATCCCTCCACATCAGAAAGAGAGAGAGGAACATTTGCGCTTTTATCACCAGCAGTTTCAGCAGCCACCTCTCCTCCAACAGAAGTTAAAGTACCAACCACTGGAAAGGCTATTATGCCAGTACAGGCCCCAAGAAGATCAGCTCCCGGATGAGACCGCCCCTCCGTTCCACTCTTACGCTGAGAGCCATGATGGGGCCCAAGCTGAAGACCTTGACGATAGCGATTTCAGTGAGGATTCTTTTTCACATGTCTCCAGTCAGAGGACCACAAAGCGAAGAAACACCCTGGAGAATAGCGAAGACCCATTCTTCCTTCATCAGAGGGAGCAGAGTGCTGAGGGGCAGGCGGCCGAAAGGCAGCAGAGTCTATTTTGTAGCCCTAGGACAGATGGTGACGAGAAGGATCTAACTGAAAGCTGGATGTGCTCAAGGGACCCCACAAATTCCAGAACAGCAGTGCTCGATCATGGCTGCAGCCTAAGTGAGGTGCCCTTGGACTGGAGCAGAGACGGGGACTCCTCACTGATTTCTCCCAAGGGCAAGCTGGCAGAAAAGCCTTACTGCTCCCAGGTAGATTTTGTATATACCCAAAAAAGGGGTGGAGACCCAGCCTTTAATCTCAGGCAGGATGCCTTCAGAAGTAAGGTCCCTGGGCAGACTGAGGGCAGCTCACCATCACCAGAAGAGGACAGTGTCATTGTCTCACTGTCCCACATTGCAGTTCCTGGGTCCCCAGACCAAAGACACACAGTCAGCACACCTTTGAGAGAAGTCAGCGAAGACAGCCCAACTCTAATGACCAGAATAGTGAAAAATAATGACCCTTTCCAAGGAGAAGACTCTGGAGGAGAATCAGGCACATGCTCTGAATATGCTTCTAGACTGATGGCTCCCCTCTCGGTTTCCCTCCTGGAGAATCCCGACAATGAGGGCTCGCCTCCCTTGGGGCAGATGGTCCAGGATGGGGCTGCCCACACTCTAGTGGCAGAGGGCACAGGAAGGTCAGTTGTGGGCCAGACAGTGTCATGTGGTGATCAAGAGGCAGTCCTGCCAGTGTCTTCGGCAACTGGGCACCTGTGGCTCTCTTCTTCTCCCCCTGACAATAAGCCTGGTGGTGATCTGCCAGCTCTCTCCCCATCACCCATCCATCAGCATCCACCTGAAAAGCTGTTCAATGAGGATGCTGACCTGGGAGAGGCCTGCCAGGGCAGAGAGACTGCGCCTTTCTCCCAGGACCACACAGGTAGCAAGTCGTATGATGCTCACGCCGAGGAGCGAGAACTGGGCGGGTCCTGGAGTTTCCCAAGAAAGCCCTTCCCTACCACTTACACTGGGAGTTCTCACTCTGGGCCTATACTCATCCCACAGACAGGAATTAGTGATGTGGCTTACCAGCCCTGGGCCCAGGAGAGAAAACATCTGGCAGGGCAGAGTTGGCAGGAACCGGCTTTGTCCACAGACCCCAGCAAGTTGCCCGGCTACCACAAGGACAAACATAGGCTGAAACGCAGGCCAATCCCAAGGTGCTTAGCAAGGCCAGGCTCTGCCCTGGTCCCCAGCTGCTCTGCCAAGATTTCAGGAACACTCCACAAGCCCACCCTGGGGCAAGCACAGTAAGTTGGACTTTCTCCCCAAGTCTGAGCCCTTTTCACACCCCTCCCCCCACTCCAGCTCCATGTTCTATCTGTTCTGGGAATGACTGAGCTTGGCTCAGTGTCAGAGCTGTACTGTGCCTGGCAGCAGCTTTGTCCACCTTCACAAGGGAGCCTGCCTAGGTGCATCTGACATGAGCTGCAGGAATAACATGTACCGGAGCAAGGCCACCAGCATAGGTGGAGCCCCAGCCTGGGCAAGCTGAGAGGTGAGCGAGAGAAGGGAAGATCTGCCCCTTAACCAGCCTCTGGCCTGTGATGAGATGAAAATCCTCTTCTTCATTCTGGAGGGTCTGTGCTCTTGGAAATGCTACCTAGGCACAGGAGCCACAGCCCTGGAGCCCCCAGAACTAAGACAGGCTGGGCACCTCTCAAGATGGGGAAGGGAAAAAAAAAGGAAGCTGGTGATGTGGGCTGTTCTCAAGGGATGCTGAGAATGGTACGACCAAAAGAGGAGATGGGGAAAGCAGCCTTAGAGGATGTAGGAAAAGGAGACAGAGGGTCCTACTCAGTACTGAGGCCCAGGAGCTAGGAGGGCAGTGGGCAGGATTGGCCTGTAGGATGCTTCCTCCATCAGGCTGTACCCTTTGCTAGGGCTTCCAATACCTAGGCCAGGTGTCTGCCTGGTGCTCACTGAGACTACAGTCAGTGGCATAGACAAAGAGAAAGGTGTGCAGGGATGCACAGGTGAGGAGCCTGTCTCTCCCAGGTGGACAGTCTTGCTGTCTCATGGTCTCTACCCATCAGTAGAGTCTAATAAGACAGCTCCTCCAGCTTGTAGCTCAAGTCCCCTGCTTTGGGCCCTGGACCTTCCATAGGAAGTAGAAATGGTGGCCGGCTAGCAGCAGGCCTTACCTTTCCAAATATGCCAGTCACAGGGCTCACAGCCCTGAGAGCCTTTTCTGCAGGTAGGCTGTGGAAAACAGGCAGCTCCTGTGGAGGAGGAGCAGCACCCAGCTCTTTCCTGAGTGTCCTCAGTACAGTTTGAGAGGCAGGAGGCAGCTCAAGAAGACCATCTCTTTTCCTGTATCTCTCCAGTCCCTTGATGAGTCCCAAGAGGAACAGGTGATGGGGGAGGAGATGGTGGTGAGCTGGCGCTGGTCAAAGCCTTGACCACTTTGGGCAGAGGCAACTCATGGCCTAGAGGTGAGGCTTAGCTCCATGAAACAATGGGAGCAGGAGGGATGGAAGGCCAAGAGGATCGCAGTGTCCCTTCTGGTGTTCCAGGCAGGTGGTAATCCGAGCACACCAGGAACAGCTGGATGAGATGGCCGAGCTGGGCTCCAAGGAGGAGACCCTGATGAACCAGCTGACTTCTGATGTAAGTGTCCTTGGCCATACACTCAGGGGCTGTTGGGAATTAGCCTGCAGCCAATTTGATGGTCATCCTTGTTTGATGTGGTGCTAAGTGGGGCTGCTGTCACACACTAACTCCTGTGAGGCATTGCCTCCTCTCGCCACTCTGAGGTAGTTTCAAGCTACCTGAGGTAGAGGCCAAAGGGCCAGGTCCAGGCAGATGGGAGATGGTGCTGTATCCCCACTCCCAGTCAAAAATATTTTCAGCTGCTGTCCTTAGCCGTTCTGCCATCCTACTGGTTTGTTGGGGCCATTCCTTGTGACTGTAACAGTGACCATCCAGCCTGCAGCCTGCCACATGCAGACCAGAGGTACTTCTATCAAAATACCTTTGTGTCCTTTAAAACACCCCTCTACCTAGAAAGTCTTTCAGACCCAGAGGAGTAGGTCTCACTCTGTGCCTAGCAACTATCCTGCAGTTTTCAGCTGGAGGGTCCTGGGCCCTGAAAAGCAAATCTGGCAGAGGGCCAGCCAGAGCAAATGCTCCATTTGTTCCTGTTTACTTCCTCAGGATTTTGAAGATTTTGTGACCCAGTTGGATGAAATCATGGCTCTGAAATCCAAGTGCATCCAGAGTCTGAGGAACCAGCTGCAGCTGTACCTGGCTTGCCACAGGCCGGCTGCAGCCCCCGAGAGGACAGTGGTATCCTAGAGCCACACCCTGTACAGGAGGGTGGGGCAGTGCAGGAGCCTGTGCTGGGCTTTCAGTCGCTGGAGGCCTCTGTCAGGTCCTCCCTGCATATACCAGAACCCACATGCTGGTCCTGCCCGTGCTAGCCTCGCCTCAGCCACACAGGGCCTTGGATAGGACCCCCAGCTCCCCTCTTAGGGCCAGACCAGACCCTCCTCAGCTATAAGCACAGGAGCATCTATAAAAAAGGAAGGACTAGGCTGAAGAACTTAATGCAAGTCCTTTTCTTTGGAGGGGGGCGGAGGCTAGAAGACAGTTTGTCTTAACTTATTGACCAATCGTCTCTTGAGAACACGTTTGGGTTTAGTAACCCAGTAGATGTTTGAGTTTGGGGATCAGAGGAGGGAGTGGTCAGTGCTAACCTGGAGGTCAGAGGTCACAAGCTAGGGAGAGCAACATGCTGAGCCCAGGGGCTCTATCAACTGAATTGTCTTTCTTCAAGATTTGGCAAAAAACCAAAACATTGTTAATGAGGCTGGGGACTGAAGGGCGAGCTCTCCCCCACCAACCTTTGGGGATTGTTTGATCTGGGGCTTTAGGTTAGCTTTTGAAAATGTAGTAAAACTAATAAACCTTGACCTGATGTGTCTTTAACAGCAGATGTCACACCTCTAAGCCCAGGTTTATGCTTACAGTTCTCCTCCCTGCCTGCAGCCCAGAATTGAGACAAAAGAGGGTACCCCTGTCTCTGCATTATTCTTCCCCATCTCAGACTTTTGCTTGATTGACAGCCTGTGTACAAGTCTAGATAAGTGTCACGCTCCTGCGGCAGTTCATGGCTCCTGTCTGAGGCTCCTCACCAACTAAGCCCCATTCTGGCACAGGGTAGGGTCCACTTCTCTGTTTGAGACACTTTCTAGGGGTAAAGAGTTGAACAGCTGGAGGATCTTAGGCAAGTCTATCTCCTAGCCTCGCCTTCATCCAGGATGGCCCCAACCTGCCACACCCCTTCAGGGGACTGTGTTCAGTATCTTGGCATTGAATGTTCTGGTCAATAGTCTGAAACCTCTGAAACAGAATCTACACACTCACACAGACAAGCCCTCATCCGAGTTCTGCTTGCTGTGTCTGTTTTTAGCAGGAAGTAGCTCAAGACAATACAAAGCAGCCTCCAGATGCCCATCACTTTCCAAAGCCATCTGGGGTCAAAGTGAGATTCATGCGCCACACAGGCTTGATCCTGATGCCTGTATGTGAAACTTTCTTTCAGGTAAAGGATAATTTTTTTTTTCCCCCTGGGAAGAAATTTTTTTTTTTTTTTCAAAGGAAAAACCACATAAATATTAAGAGTATAAAACTTGCAGGAGACACAGGAAGGAGGTGGGGTGGGGAGCTACATGACTCTGCAAAGAGAAGTGCTTATAGGAGTCAGTACAGGGGAGGGGGTCACCGTATCGTGTGGACACAGCACAAAACACAACATGGGCCGCTGCAGGCAGGTTCAAGGACAGACGGCTGCGCAAAGCCCACCACTTGCTACCCACTTGGCATCATGTAAGAAAAACTGCACTACACTATTGGCTATTCAACACCGGCCGGAAGAGGAAGGGGCTCTACACTATTCTAAGGGCTGGGGTGGGGTTCTCTAGCAGCTCCACTGGATGAACGGGACCCAGAAGGGGGTGGGCAAAGGAAGGTCTATACACAAAGAGGCACTGGGGGATTTCAACCAGGCTCTGGACACTGAGGGGTAGACTGAGAGCCTGGACAGTGGTCTTCACAGAGAAGAAATGGCACCTGCCAAGGTGAAGGATGTTGGGGAGTGCAGGGGTACTGTGGAGAAGTTCCAGTTCTGGGCTGAGACCTTCTGTCCACTTGCTCCTTGTCTCCCCAGTCAGGGACCAAGAATGGCCTAACTGGTCCCCCTTGCTGCTGGGGCACCACTGGACGCTTCCACCAGCAGCACCTCTGGAGGACCCAGCACCCACAAAGGCCCCTCTAACTTCTCCAGGGACCTGGTCCTGCACTCACTCAGAGCTTCCTTGGACTGTTAATGCCAGTTTAAATCCATTAGTCCTGGTAATTCAACCCAAAGTTTGCTGCCTGGGATAAGCCTCATATGTGGGAGTGGGGTTCCAGCATGGTGCTTGGTTTATGGTGGAATTTGGGGACCTGGTCAGTGCCCTGGGAATATATGCAGTCTCCTGTAGGACACTGTTAACTGGTGGGTCAAGCTTTGTCCCTTCCTCTCCTCCCCATCCACATACATACCCTCCCTTTCCTCCTTCATCTTACCACCCCATACTGTCTTGGAACATGCAATGGAGTCTCGTTTGGGGCGTGGGTGGGGAAGTCACAGCATGCAGTGGGAACACCAATGAAAAACAAGACTGGTCCCCAGGGTGTTGGCAGAAAGCCTGGTAGCAGAATGCCCTCCCTAAATCCAGCATGCATCAGTACCATGGGGATGGTGACCAATGTCCCCCAAAACTTGAGCTTGGTCTTAGGCTGTGGAAGGAGGTTAAGGGACTGGCACAAACCATGCTTTGGGGGAAGTCTGACAGTTGGAGAGGCCAAGAAGCCCTTCCAGCTCTTCAGAACTATGAGCCTTTTTAGGTCACCTGGTACCTCAATACCCCAGCCATCTTAAGAGAAAGGAGTTGTTGAAGAAGTGGGGTGGAGTTGGGTAGGTAGGAGGGAAGGAGGGGATGGATGGCCTGATTGAATTTGGAAGATGGAATTCAGCTGTAACTAAAGGGGGTGTGATAAATGGTTCCAGGTTTCTACACTAACCCACCACCATGGGCACAGCGACTGATTGGATGGGGGTTCTCAGCAAAAGTCCCTTTGTATATTCAAACCCTTGGGGGTGGAGAGGGGGATGTTGACTGGGCACTTATTTCTGTTTCCCAAGGGAAGCATGGCCTTGGCCCCTACCAGCATTGTGGGGGTAGCCCTGAAATTCTGAGGCCTGGGTACAGGTAGGGAGAGACTGGACTGGTGTGGGAGGGAGGCTGCCCTGTGGCTCCGGGACTGGCCTCCACATTACTTCTTGTGGCGTCATTGACAACTTCTTGCTGCTGTTGCCATCTGCTGGGGTCTTGCCATCCCGCTTGCCAGCTGCATTGGCCAGTGTGGCATCACTACCAGGGATGTAGACATTCTGGCGGTAGGCCATGTGCTGCAGGGTGAACTGGGGATCATATTGGGCACTCAAATCCATGGTGCTGGCACCCCCTCCCATGGTGGTGCTCCCATCAACAGCTTCACTAGTGGAGGCCAAGATCATGGCTTGAAGCATCTCCGCGTCAAACTGGTTGTCAGGCCACGTGCCAGTTTCATCGCCATTTTGGGAGCATGATTTCTTGCAGGGACAGAGCAGGCATAAATGGCGGCCTGCCCTCCGTGAAAGTAGTGAGGGAGATCAGCCCCTCTCCCAAGGACAGTGAGGGTGGCAAATGAGATTGTCCCAGAACTCAAGGATAATTTTTGTAAGATTTTAAAAGGAGGACTTAATTAAAAGGCCAGGAGAGGGGCTAAATCAATACCTCTCTGAGCCTGCAGCAGTCTGGTCCAGCCACCCATTGGCACTCTGGCTGTGCCTCATCTGACCAGCAGAGGGCACTGTGTTCCCAGTTTGGTTTAAGGCTCTACAGCCCCTTCTCACACAACCACTAAACAAAATTAGAGCTCTAACCCCAAGAAGGACCATATTAAGGACAAGAAAGTTTAGGGATGCAGTCAGTTCCACAGGATACAACAGCACTGCTCAGCCCTGGTGAGGCAGTTTAAACCAGTCCTGCCTGTCACACAGAGCACATAAACTGCCTGATCCTATTCACAGGAGAAGGGACTCCTTCCTCATTTCTGTCCCTGCTTCACAGTCTTACTGGGAGGAATGTGCCCTTGGTCTAGAGACTGAGCTAGGTCAGGGCCTAACAGTGTTTGTAAACCAAAAACTAGGGCTGACAGGAGGGCCAGCTCCTGGGTCTCATAAATCTAGAATGAGAAGAAAGTTTAATGACAGAAAATGGTTAGGTTCTGTTCCATCCTCAGCAAATCTAAGTGGGAAATCCCTTCACTACCACGTCTCAGTAAAAAAGAAAAGAAGGAAATTATCACAGCAGGACACACCTTTTAGATTTTTATTAGTAGTTCTCTCTGAAGAATCAAAATAGTTAGCAAATTACTTTAGATTCATCAAGACTGTATATCCTTTGTATTTAGAGCTTTAATGATGTACAACATAATACAAAACAAACCAAAGAGACTGATTTCTAGGACTAGGTGTTACGCATTGTGTCATCCTAAAGCAGTGGGCTGGAGGAAGAGGCTGTTCTCCAAGAACAGAGGTGGAGTTAGTGCTGGGAGACTAAACCGTGGCCTGTTTTCTCCCCCATTCAGTGTGCTGGGAAGGGGACAATAATTTCTTAAACTGACAACTATTTCCTAGAGCAGTAAACCCTGGGTAGGAGGGGGCTGTGGGCCAAATCAAGCCAAAAGGAACAGGCTAGGGCAGGGAAGCATGGTGACTGCCTGGCAGAAGAGGCAAACTCAGGGCCCCATGTGGAAAGGGCATTCTTTGCACCTCAGAGGCATTTGCAGAGACCAGTGTAACACTAAGAGACTTTGTTAAGAAAAGGGGAAAATAAAACCCTGGAAAAACCTTTCCATTGCACTGAACTTGGATAAGAGTTCAGTCCACCACAAGTGAGGATGAGGTAAGGAGGGGAGGGGAGCATCTAGTCCCAAAGCAGCACTGAATCTGGCCCTCCCACCCTTCTCCTTGACTCCTCTTGGCAGCTAGGCCAGGTTTGGGCTGAGGTCATACAGACCCCAGGAAGACCAGAGCAGTCTCTCTGAAGGGCGAAGTGCGAAGGGCACTTCTCAAATTACAAATACATTTAATATAGAAGGAGGAGCCAGGACTGTTCTGGAGGCATTCACATGCCCAAGTCTTCCTCATTTTAATCCCAGCTCAGCGCGCCTAGGTCATAGTGACTGGCAAGCACAGTCTCCAC